GTTAACCAAAATGAATTTATGATTATTATACTTCAGTAAGCCTGACTAGGTGACAAATTATGGGCTGCCTAGTGGTTACTCTGAGACAGGAGGGGTTTTGCGGGCTTTTATTTTAATTCGCTAGAGGGGGTGTGTACTTGTGGGGGTGAGAGTGAGAGAGCGCCACCCAGAGGGATGGTCATGCCACAGTCCTTCCTCCTCCAGTCTCTCAGGATTTCGGGCATGCACGCTCACACCCACAGCATATTTTCAAGCTATCAGGTCCAGGACTCAAAGGGCATAGTACAGCCCCCTTAACTACCACACCATCAGCTGACCTTTGTGGACTCTTTAAAATTTCATCCGGAGGATGTGCAGTGCCTGTGAAACACACTCTCGGCGGCCCAGCTCTAGACTTTGCAAAGCAGTGCCAAAGTCGTCCTACCTTCAGCTAGGCCAGTGAGAAAACTGGACGTCCAAGGGCCGGAGACATGAGCACGCGCTCGGTGGCCGTCTCCCAGTACCCACCAAGCTGGGCAGCAGTTTGGAAAATATAGGCGCTAGGTTTCAAGGATGACTTGGCATCTCCATGCAGTGGTTCCACGTGGCTCAGAGAGGCTTAACTACAGGAGTGTCTGTGGCCAGGCCTCCCAGAGGGAGACCCAGAGGTCTGAGGAAGCCCTGGTCTGCTGTCAGGAGCCCAGAATCTCCACTACATAACTATGTGGCCTGGAGCCGGTTCCATTCCCTGTCCTTCCTGGGTCTCCTCCTGTGTGGCAGAAGGGCTCCTGCTAGCACCGCCAGGCAAGGAGGCTCCTGGGAAGCCAGGCTCTGGCTGGGACCGGTGAGTAGGAAAGTGGGCTGTGCTTTTCTGCCACCTAGTGGTGGATGCAGGTAATATTCTAACACAGGAGTGAGTGCTGCAGGCAAAAGTCCTCAGGAACTTGGAACTAAAGAAAAAGAGAATCTTGCAGTGCAAGCCCCGCATTTTATTGACCCAGTGGGTCTCCGCGTGGGAACACAGGTACTGAAAGGTTCTAGTGAGTGCCGACTTACTCACCTAGTGCCTCTGTTCACAGTATGGTTCTTGGTTTTCTCCACTAGACTGTGGTAATTATGATCGTTAAACCAACAATACTAAGGACCCCATACACCTGCCACTGTCATTTCCCGTCCTCCCAACGCTTCCAATGCAGCTGTTCGGGTAAGAAATTTAAGACTTGAAGATTCTGTTCGTTGCTTGTTGCTATAGGGCACAGCGCTAGCAGGAGAGAGACAGAGAAAAAGGGAAAATGAGGGGCTGGCAGGTGGCATGGTGGTTAAGGGCACTAGACTCCCACATGGCCGACTGCGGTTCAATTCCCAGACCTGATAGTTTGCTTTCTCACTTCTCCCTCCCTCCCTCCCTTTCTCTCTCTCTTTCTCTTCCCCTCTTGGGTCAAATTTTAAAATAAATAAATAAATAAATAAATAAAGTTAAACAAAATAATTTTTTTTTAAAAAAAAAGGGGGGGGGGATGAGAAATCACCCCCGAGGGGGGATGGCCGCACCACAATCGAAGACTTTAAGTGACTTGCCACTGTGTTAAGAAAATGTCAGGAACCAGGACTGGAACCGAGTTTGAGATTCTGATACAGTGCTTTTTCTACACGAACCATTTACCACGGTGTAGACTACTAATCCAAGCATGCGGCCCCCTGGTTGCTGTGCAAGGAGACCTGTGCACCAGGGCAGGAGCAGGCAGTCTGCAGCCCGTGGGGTGGACCAGAAAAGCTCTGCACTCACCAGGTGCCATGCCTGGGCCAAATCAGAGGGCTTCCTCCTCCACTTTAAACCGGGCGCTCCTGCAGGGCAGGACACCGAGAGCCACCGCCACGGGAGATGCGACCTTCAGCTGAGAGAGCGCTGCCAACGTGTCCCCGGGCCAGTGCTGCTCTGCAATGATGAACGTGCAGAGACTGGGAGCCGGGTTTTAGGAAACCTCAGTGTGACAGTCTCGTGCTTAACAAAAAATGGAGGGCAGTCATATTTTGTCACAGGTTTTTGTTTCGTTGGGTATTCTTTAGTAATTCATCTTTATTGCATTTACAAAAGCACTGGTTCACAACGGCTTGAAATTTAAGAAAGAGAGTCCTCCCTGGATCTCTCCTATGGACAGGAGCTGCTCAGTGTGGCCCTTGGAGCTGAGCTTTCGTTATTTATGAAAACAACAGCTCATGTTATTCTAGAATTCCATAGAACTTTCTGGGTTGTCATTTGGATTTGGTTTGGTTTTTGACAGGGTCTTGCTGTCACGAACCTCTTGCCTCAGCCTCCCCGCTGAGACCACAGATGCATGCCACCACCCTCGCTGCTTTCTCAGACGCGGTCTTACTCTGCCACCCTCGAACTCACAGTCTTCCTGCCTCAACCTCCCCAGGTCGCTGGGATTACGGAGACAAGCCACCTCACCCTCCTTTAGGCTGACCCGGAAATCCAACCTGGGCCACCCCGTGGTTACGGCCGGCGGAGCATGGTGAATTCTGGCCCACCGTGGCTGGAACCGGGCTGGTTTACAAGCACTCTCACGTATGTTTCGTTAGGGCCCACGGCCGATGTGTGCTGAGGCAAAACAGAACTAACTGTGTGTCTGCTGCAGACGAAGTGACTCAGCTTCAGACTAGGAGGGGACGGCTGTGCAAGGGCGTGCAGCATCTACCTGGCGCTTTCTGCTCTCAGGAGACCCGCTCCTGGGACAAGACCGCTCTCCTCTCCCGAGTCCTCAGGATGCAGAATCCAGGGCCCCTTGCTCCAAACCCTTGGTCACGTGCCACAACCCTGTCACCTCACTCAGGACTGGCAGCACAGCGGAGCACCCCGTATACAACGTCTGCACCCCCAAACAGGGCGTTTCCAGCTCCATTTCCTTTGGGCAGTGGCCAGGAACACGTGTCCCGTGCTGCAGCCAGCACGCTGCACACACTTCATAAATTACACGGACTCTCTGCTCTCCTGAGTCCAGCCTCGACAGTTTGCACGTTAGTCGGCACCGCAGTGAAGCCGTTGTGAAAACAGCCCGACCTCTCACAGTCTGAGCGTGGAGTCTGCACCCCTGTGGTTCAGGTGCGTCACCCGGTTCTGGGGGTGTGTGGATGCTCCCGCCCACTGTGTGCCGGGGGTGCGGGAGTGCCGAGCGAGGCCCTGTGCTCACGGTCTCGCTCTCTACGTGGGGTCAGGACCGTGATGTGACGTGCTGGTTATTAATGTGCAAAGCCATCTGTATTGTTTACGTCATGACCAACGTTACTTAAGAGAGTCCCTGAGGTGACATCCCGGAGTGATGTCCCCCTTCTCTGACGTCAGGGAATTTCTCCTCCAGGAATCATGAAGGAACAACCATCCATGCCTCCCCTAAACTCTGAGACACTCAAAGTAAAAATCCTGCAGGTAGAAAGAGCAACAAAGGGGGGCCAGCAGGTGGCGTGGTGGTTAAGCTGCTGGACTCCCACATGGCCGACTGCAGTTCAAGTCCTGAGCCTGGCGGCTTGCTTTCTCACTTTCTCTCTCTCTTAATTAAATAATTTTTTAAAAAAAAAAAAAAAAAAAAGGCAACAAGTCTGCCCTGCCCTGACTCTTGTCCCTCCCTGCTCTGAGTCTCCCTCCTCAAAGATCCTCCGTGGATATCCACCTTCTACCACGGCACCAAATGACTCCTGCCCAGGATGCTCCCTGGCCGATCTGCAGCTCCTGTGAGCAAGCGCAGTCCCCGCCCAGACAGTGGGACAGTGGCAGAGCAGGGATCGGGAAGGCTGGCCGCATGCGCAGGCTCCGGGTCCGTGTCCTGAGACTTCCTTAGACTTGTATACCTGTGACTCAGGGCCGACTGAGGCCGCGGGTGGCCACGGGGTCAGAACCTATCACAAGTCTGCAAGGTCTTTCTCTCGAAAGGAAGGAAGAAAGAGAGAAAGAGAGAAAGAAGAGAGGGATAAACTCAAAAAAAAAAAAAAAAAAAAAGGCAAGACGCTGCAAAAATCCTCAGAGGCTAAGATACAAGACAGAGGGGATACCCAGGGAGAATTAATGATTCAGCCTCTGTGGTAGCGGGAAGGAGGGACTGGAGGGAGGAGACGGAACGACTGGCCTGCACGCACTGCAACCCCAGCCCTTCCTGGGGGACACTGTGGCTGAGTCCGGGTCCCCCTAGGGGCTATCTGCAGCCCCCGTGGTCCAGGACACTGCCCCTCAAGCGGAGCCCTGGGCATCGCGAACTCCTCTCACAGACACGAGAGCCAGCCTCTGCCCCAACCCTCAACACTCTGGGTCTAGGGAATTAGAATCAAAGAAAGCAAGAAGACAGGATGCATGCCAAAGAGAAACATCCAGAAGTTGTACCCTTCAGGGCAACGATAACATGGAGTGGTAACGGGCCTGAGATTAGAGGTGGGAGGGAGACGAGAAGGCTCGGCCGCTTGGACCATCAGCCCCAGCAGCAGCTCCAGAAGGGTCCCAGGGCCCGGGCGCACCCTGCACGGCCTCAGTGCCTGTCCACAGCCCCAGCCCCACGATCAGGGAAGGCGAGAGCTGACCAAGACCTCAAGCCTCACCTTACAGAAGGCTGAGGGACTAGGCGGCCTGGAGCCCACTAATGGCATGGAGGGACAGCCGTGTCTCCTCTTGGGATAGGAAGTAACACACATTCATGTGAATCACCCGCAAACACACGTGCACGCTTCCATCCTCACAGTGCGGAATGCAGCCTTTGGGAAAGTTCTCATGGAAATGCATTTTTACTTGTAATTATTTTCTGGTCATGCTTTCCTTGCCCCCAGGGCTCCCCTGTGAGCTAAGTTCTCTTTGTCAGATCCTAGCAGGACCAGACATTTCCTACCAGCTCCCTCCCTGCCTCTCCCACTCATGCCAACCCGCCCTGTCTCGCCCACCTCTTCCCCTCTCTGGCTGCACTGCACCCTCCTCGCACCCACTCATCCCTGCCTGCAGGAGGTAGGCGGGACGGCGCCGCCCCTTGCAGCTGGTGGCTCACCATGCCCGGGGGACAGAGGCAGCCGGAGACACAGCCCATGCTCATGCACTCCAGGTCGTAGTTCTGGCACGTCTTGGCACACTCGAGCCCTTCCGCCCGCGGGTCATCAGCAGGACACACCAGCTTGACCATGGGGGGCCGACAGGACAGGCTCCGTTTGCCTGAAGGTAGGAAGATCAAAGAGGTGGTGAGTGAAGGCAGGAGAGAATCCTAGGGGCCGTGGATCAATTCGAGGGACGCAGAGTGTCCATTCCCTGGGACGGTGCCACGCAACTCCAGGGGGCTCCACCCTGAACCGGGGTCCCTGCATAGACTGGGCTGGCAGCCTTGCCCATTCCCTGAATCAGTATGCACGGCAGAAACTCCCTGGATTGGGAGTTTGGGGGCTAAAATGAAGCCTTACTGAGACCCGACAGAACCATTCCTGAAACAGTTAGAGCCGGCATGGGAAGAGAAAGCCGTTGAACCTCAAGACTTTAAAGAGCAGCCTCTGCCCCTCCACACCACTCCCCTAGCAGCACCCCGACTGCCACGCTCCATCACTGCCCCTGCTCTGGTCTTCTCCCTGATAGACCGCATCGCTCCCTTGCCCGCCCCTTCCCTTGTGCACCCACCGCACCCGCCCCACTCAGCCACCAGAAGGCAGGGACCATTCGTTCATTGAGTCATCACGTCCCCTGACAATTAACGGGGATCACCCGCTGACGAGAGAGTGGGGACACAAATGATGGGTCGGCACCTTCCTTCCAAAACCCCTGGGGCTCCTAATACTGTTCACGTCACGTCCTGTGTTCCGCTGAGGTAGGGGACAGCGACAGGAGTATTACACACGCGGGGTGAAGGCCCTGGGGCTCCTAATACTGTTCACGTCCCGTCCTGTGTTCCGCTGAGGTAGGGGACAGCGACAGGAGTATTACACACGCGGGGTGAAGGCCCTGGGGCTCCTAATACTGTTCACGTCACGTCCTGTGTTCCGCTGAGGTAGGGGACAGCGACAGGAGTATTACACACGCGGGGTGAAGGCCCTGGGGCTCCTAATACTGTTCACGTCACGTCCTGTGTTCCGCTGAGGTAGGGGACAGCGACAGGAGTATTACACACGCGGGGTGAAGGCCCTGGGGCTCCTAATACTGTTCACGTCACGTCCTGTGTTCCGCTGAGGTAGGGGACAGCGACAGGAGTATTACACACGCGGGGTGAAGGCCCTGGGGCTCCTAATACTGTTCACGTCACGTCCTGTGTTCCGCTGAGGTAGGGGACAGCGACAGGAGTATTACACACGCGGGGTGAAGGCCCTGGGGCTCCTAATACTGTTCACGTCACGTCCTGTGTTCCGCTGAGGTAGGGGACAGCGACAGGAGTATTACACACGCGGGGTGAAGGCCCTGGGGCTC